TAACAAGAAGTAATATGTTAAAGCGGCGGTGGTCGTCGCACCGCGTGTGTTCGATATGGGACCCATAGCGACGTATACAACGCGTGTGAAATACGTTCTTTGTTTACATGAAATTCGAACACGCGCTGCGCGACGACCACCGCGCTTTAAAGAAACAAGACTGCATTCTTCTATTTGTACAATCTAAAATTTGTGATTTATTATTAACAAGTAATTCTTTAATGTATTTATTATATTTCTCAGGCAAAGAATGGGCGGATGAGGATTGCTCAGCTGAGTACCGATTTACTTGTAAGTCGGTTCTCAGTGTATAAGGTACGTGGCCAATCACCTCAAAGTTGTTGTGCTGTTGTGGCGCGTTGTGTCCAATGTGGGACTAATAATACGTGTACAACGCATGTAAAATGCATCATTTGCTTAATACATGAAATTCGAGCTCGCGGTAAGACTATTAGGAACTTTAAAACGCACGCGCGGGAATTGAGTCCCAAGCGACGATAACAACGCGCGCTAAAAAACGCAAAGGTTCGTTGATGGCATCGTCCGAATCGCACGGTTTGTTGGTGCCGACTCATTGCCAACTGGGACTCCACCAACATGACCAACCCGTGCGGGATCAGCCTGGGTAAACGCGTATTTCATGATAAACAAATGGCCAAGTTTGATTGGACGCGCCTGTTGGAAAGGCGCCCAATCAGACGCTGTGTAACATTGCGCGGTAACCTAAAGTACAAAATGTCGGAAATGGCGACGTGTAGCACGGTTACTTCAAAATTCTTCTAGTAACCGTGCATGTAGAAAGTGTTTAGGTTGTTTGCCAAACCTAAAAACCGGCGCTGCATTTTTTCACCCAGGTTTCCACAATATGTTATGCCAACGTTGCAGGCTGTTTGTGGCATACTTCGTCACCAAAGTGACAAATATTTATGTTAACAAAATAATGAAACTGTCACGGTCAACTTTGAAAGAAATCTCAGAAACTCAAGAGTAATGCCTCAATTGCATGGTTTTGGTGATCGGTGAGACTTTTTATCTTGAAAAACTGTGTGATCTGTTCTACTTGAGTCGCCATTTAAAAAACAACAACACTCTATTGTCTGTGTATTTTGATACGAGATAGCTGATTGGCTGTTTATTTTTGTCGCATCTCCCCCTCCTTGTCGTTAAGGGCGCCTATTAAATACACACTGTAGTGGTTAAATCTGCTAAGAGTTAGTTTGGAGAGGTAACCTGAAACAAACGCTCCTTATCTGGCGAAGATGCGTTGGTGGACGCTTGCTGGTAAACAATGACACGCTATGGCTGTCTGTCGCGCATGCGCATGTGACGAATCCTCTGCTTTAAATGTAAGAAATCTTCTTGTACGACCAGCACTAAATTCTCTGAAGTTTATGTCAGTATAATCTGTTATTTGTTTATTTCAGCAAACTCAAGAAGCAGTATCCTGAAGAATCCATTGGAGTTGGTTATGTTATACATTGATGGTTTCTGATAAAATAAAGTACATATGTTTATATAATCGCAACCATTTACTATCTGTTTGGTTTTGGTTTCCAGGGTGTGATCCTGTTTGAAGTTAAATTAAACTGCCTCTGCAATCTCAGATTGCATTACTGACGTTGTAAAATGTATTTATCATTAATTAATACGTTAATCTCAGGTCACAGGATAGCATACAATTTATTCGATTTCTGAAATATGCTGTAACGCTTATACATGTTGTAATTCTACAGTTAGTGTGCTGCGTTAGTATTTAACAAGGTTAAAAAAAGCTTTTATTATGCAAACCGTGACGTTAAAGGGTTGTAGTCGCCGCGCCACGCATGCGCGAGATATATGGCTCTGATATAAACAAAGATGGCGACTTTGACTGTTGCGCAGATCAACGAGTACAAACTGAGACATTACCAAGCTTTAATGGGGTATTTTTAGGGGATTGGATGGTATCAAAGGAGTCACAATTAGTGCAAATCGCGCCAAGGTCAAACCTCCTACTTGTGATTTCCATTAGAAGAGCTCATTGGATTGTGGGGAAATCAATGTTCATCAACACAAATGTCGCACATGCGCAGCGCGACGACACTGCCATTTAACGTCACGGTTGCAAGCAAACGTTCAACATGTACTTTTTTTTACAAATTTGAATAACCGCGAACGGTGCCGTCATAAACGAACTGCGAACGAGCCTGACGTAATCGAATAACACACCACGCCTTCTAGAAACCCACAAGTTGTCTATAATGACAATTGGCTTTAACTGTTACATTATATGTACAGGAGTGGAAAAATATTTACGAACGCACGAAAAAAATTAACCGATCTATAATCGACCCAAGGCAACCAAAGCTGTGCCGCGTACCCAGGACCTTATATTGGAATAATGGAATCAAATAGAATAGATAGATAGAAACAATACATAATAAGCCAGAGTTATGGGAAACCAGAATTGTAATTGCATATAATATCGTATGACATGGTGGGAGTGTGTACAAATTCTCAGTTGTCCCGGGTTGGTGTGGCTTGTTAGCTGTTGTATATATCTGGTAGCGTCGATTATGTGTTGGGTTCGAATACGAACACTACGTTCAGCACCATCAATGTGGTGAAACCTTATTGACGGTGATGGATGTTACGTTGCATGGAACGTAAACTTCAATTGACCTCACTGTGATGACGCATGCGTCGTGAAATACGGAAAAAGAGCCCGAAGCATGCGCACTGCGTACACAGTATGCTAATAACCTTTAATGAGGTTATGACGTAGACACATCTCATGAATATTATTTGAAAGTGAAATTATTAATAGAAAACATTTAGTATGAAACGCCGGAATCACGTATATTCGGTCTTCACACGCACTCTGTCTAAAGTGGGTATTTGAAGACTGTAAACGCTTTCCATCATTCTAAACTGGTCACCAAAATTAAAAACTGTTTCTGTGGTTTACACTCAAATCTACACGAGCTACGGCAAGCCTCAATGGGGCTCAATTGTATACAGCGCCACCAGTGGCTGTTCCCGGCTCCATGCTTCAAGTTATTCACAAACAAATAAATCTTCTGAATCACAAGTTAATTTTGCACTGTAAGCATTTAAGCATATGCAAATTAGCTAATTATCATATTGTATGTTAGAAATACTAGTATGGAACACCATTTAAACATAACATTTTGTGTCTGGAACCCATTTACACAATGAAATACACCTGTATTTGGCTGAAAAAAGGACCACAACTGGGTTACCGTACTTTGGATACCCCAGTTGTGGCCGGTTTATTCAAAAACCCTAACTATTTGGGTAAAGTGAACAAATGCTTGAATAGCGAAAAAGTTATTGAAAATCTTGAATACAATGTAACATATCAAGTTAATTGAATAAACAAAGTTT